ATTCAAGGCAGGGATCGGAAAGGAGCGAGAAGTGTTTGCAGTGGAACCCGTCCACCGAGATGGCCGACGCCGTCCTGTAAGACTTCGAGACGTCCCTGATTTGTTGGGCACCCAACCTCGGGAGGCCCTCCAGCCTCTCAAAGGCCGAATCCGCACTGACCCCAGGGCCCCATAAGGAAGCAAAGCGGCCCCCTTCAGCTTTCAGCAACGAGAGGGGGTCCGAAACCACGTTGCCAGCCGCCGGAAGGGTCGAACTGGCAGCCCACGGGGCGGGGTCCCTAAGGAGGGTATGAACTCTTTTCGCTCCTGACTGCACACCGACATTAAGCCAGGCCTTCCATTCTGAGCGGGCCTTGCCACGGAACTTCGAGTCGGCGGCCTGGACGGCCTCGTGCACCTGCGTGCGCACGTCCGCAAAGGAGTATGGATCGACCGTGCGCGTCACAGCCTCCTTCACCAAACTGAGCATTGGTGCATACTCATCCTTAGCATCATCGATAGACTGAGGAGGCTGCAACAACAGGGCCTTCAAAGTACCAGCCATCAGGGCGCCAGCTCTGAGGGAATGAACGTAGGCCTCGAGCTGTTGCCCGAGCCAGACAATCGAGCGATGAGAGGGGTATCGCACCTTGCCATCTTTGGCAAGGACTGACTTCCAAACAAGCTGAGGGCCCAAACCACGGGACCCAAGTTTGACAGGCGTCTCGCCAACCAGCGGAACAAGCTCCTGCTCAGCCAGGTCCGCCCAACGCTGGTAAAGGGGGCCGAGCAGAGCGGCAGCCTCCTGAGGCCTGTCCGTCTCAACGAGTTGGAAGGCAGCATCAGTGAGAAGCCGCACCCCAGACCACACAGGGGGGCAGGGGGCGGGCCCGACGACAGCTTCACACGGCAGGGGGGGGGCGGCCGACGGAAAGAGAGAGCTTCCAGCACTCCGAGCTGCTCAAAGAAACGAAGGTCCACAGGGCGATGGGGTGAGAGCTCCGTGCCCAACCTAGTGTCGATCCGTTCTATGGCCTTGCTGAGGCCGCCTGACACCACGAAATAATCGAAGGTGGACGGGGGCCCAGCAGGATAGTGAGTCGGAACGCTTGGCGCAATCAACGCACCTCTGAGCTCCTGCACGAAATCGGAGCCTCGGAGCACTTCAGGGTCCATGTTAAAATCAGCTCCGAGAATCCAGGGTCTCGCGGCCGTGGAAAGCACCACCCCCAAAGACGAGAGAGGGTTCAAGTTGGCGTCTGAGAGACCCTCCGGGCGGTGAAGGTAGGCCGAGGCAGCGAGGAAAGGGGGGGACCCAGGGATCTCGAACGAGCAAACCAGGGCGCGCCCACAGACAACCTGACCTCCAGGCACCTCCAAACACCCCAACCAAGAGCGCACGAAAATGGCGACTCCCCCCGAGGAATCCCCCATCTCGGTGGCCGTGGCGGGCGACCAGACGCTCTTCCAACCGCGGCGGAGGCATCAGGCGCTAGCCTGATCAATATCTTCAGCTCGAATCAGACGGTGCTCTTGACAGAACAACACATGCGCACCAGTGCCCTCAATCATGCTACGCATACGGCCCCAGGAGTTGCAATTGATGGTCTGAACCCTGAGCGAGACGGAGTCGAGCTGGGCATCCGCAGCATCACCACTGTCCTGGGGAGACCGAGCTCCTTCAGTGGGGAAGCATAGGCCATCCAGACCAGTGCTTGCACGCCCTGAGACCAAAAACCGAGCGCTTCGAGCAAAAAGTGGCGACTGCAGACCATGTCGAGTCTCCTGGTCCACCAACGGCCCAGGAGCCCCAAGATCATGGCTGCAAGAACCCAGACTCCCAGACACAGGGCCTGGGCTACCAGAGCCCACGCCTTGACGAACCTCTGTGGGCTCGGGCAGAGGCAGCCCGACCAGTGCGGTACAACAGGGAACATCCCTGTCCAGAGAGAGCACAGGATACTCGGCCATTGGACAGGCGAAATTCACAGGAGCCTGGCTCTTACGAAAAAGTGAGAGACACGGGTGGTCGGCAGCCTTCAAAACTGCTGAATCCGCACGAGTCATGAGGTCACGCCATCGGGCTGGCGGTGGGACCTTCTGAAATGATTTCAACCTCTGGACGAACGAATCCACAGAGGAGGAAGCGAAAACCAGAGGAAGGCCTCGCTTGCACCATAGAGCAACCTGAGCCGCAGCGCGGCCAAAATTCGCCGAAGAAACACTGCCCCCCTGGAGTTTACCGTTGTCCGAGCTCACAGCCAACCAGGCCGTCCCGAGCAGCCGGGGTCCCCCAGGTCCGAAGCCCGAGATCGCACGGCTCAGAAAAAAAAACTCAAAACTCGCGGGCTCCAGGAGGGGCTCAAGCAGAGGCAGCTCCAGCAATCCTGTCAGCACGCGCCCTGGTACTTGACGGCGCGGTAGGAGAAGCCGAGCCCGTCGCAGCTTGCTCCGAGGCCGCGCCAGCAGAAGCAGGTCCTGCCTCAGGGCGGTCTCCACCGTTGGTGCCAGTCGCTGAAGACTCATCCTTGCCAGCACCTGCTGGGAGGGGTGCCTGTTCAACTGGAACTCCAGCTCCGTCGACCACAGCACCACCATCCGTCTTACGCTTCATAGCAATACGCTGAGACAACTGCTTGTGTTCCTCCCGCAACGAATCCACTTTAGCTTTGGCCTCAGCGAACAGGGAGCGCGCCATGTCCGTGATGCCAGCCTTGAAGAGGTCCACACGATCTGCCAACTGCTTGGCCTCGTCAGGAGAGAGCTGCTCGTCGTCGGTGATCGTGAAGCAATCTCCAACATCGAGGTCAAACATCTGAGAGAAGCGCTTCTCGTCCAGAAGATCCTCCAAGCAGAGCTTCGTGCCCGAGGCCGTGTCCGACGGGGGGCCTGTGCTCGGCAGCTCGTCATGAAGGCGCCGAACGAGCTCACCGTGTTCGCCTTCAGCCTGCTCCAGGTCGCTGCGCAGGACCAAAACTTGGTTCCTCTGCGCCGCGAGCTGAGCCTCCAGCATCTCGAACTTGCTGACGGCGCTCTCCAGCTTCTTCTCGATGGCTCGGGCCTTCTGGTGAGCCTTGCTGAGAAGGGCCTGCACCGAGACCGATGCAGGAGCGGGCGCCGACAGAGCCGCAGCCGCGGTGCGGTGCGCAGCTGCAGCACGAGAGTCGCCCATCTTGTCGTGCAGGGATGCCAGCTGCAGGTATTCGTCCGCAGAAAGCTTCGGAGCACCTGCAGCAGGCGGGGCGCCAGCAACTCCTTTGCCTGAGCCAGAAACGCCCTTCTCGCCACTCTTCCCAGAGGAGCTGGGGCCGTCACCAAACATGGCAAGAGCTTTGCCTGACGACCAGGCCGAACCATACTGGACGGAGTCACGCTTGAGCTGGCCGCAGTGCTTGCAAAAGAAGAATCTGGCCTCATTCTTCTTGCAACCGCAGATACTGCACGTCCATCTCTTGGACGCGGAAATGTGACCAGGATGGCCAGCACCACCAGGAGGAGAACCTTGTGGGCCAGGGACCAGAGGGGGCCACACTTGGTCACGCTTAGCGGCCGACGAAGGCGATGCCCACGAGCGGTGCCACGGAGCCCAAGAGATGCGCCCATGCCCGCCAGCACCTCCTCCTGCCATCGGACAGACTGAGTCGTGGTAAGCGAGTAGCTCCCAAGGAGCGGAAATGAAAGACTGCGGGTTGAGATCCCGCGAACTGCGAAAGAGAAAGCCACAATGGCCCGCAACAGCTGTGTGCCGTTCTGAATCTAAGCTGCTGCAAGCACAAGCAAAAGCCTGAGCCAGAACGGCTTGAGCCAAAATGGCTACGGACGGGAGGAGAAGGAGGAGGAAGGAGGAGGAGGAGGAGGAGGAGGAGGAGGAGGAGGAGGAGGAGGAGGAGGACGGGGAGGAGGAGGAGGGAGGGGCGCGAAGGATGGATGGTCGGGCCAGGGCCAGTCGAGACAGCGAAAAACGCTCCCTCGCGTTGTGCGTCCCTCTTGGCCACCGAGGCGGGGCCCGCCTCGGAGGTCGGGCCACCGGGGAGCCCCCCGGGAGTACTCCGACGACAGACTGTGCCTGCATCTGGGCCGGCCAGGAGCGTAACGGAAGGATGGGGAAGGATGGACCGGAATGAAGCGCCCAATGATGGCGCGCCCTCCAGCGCCAGCAGTGCCTCAATCGTGCCCCGAGACGCGCCGAGCGGCGAAATCACTTCCAGCACTCCTGCATCCACCCAGGGACAGCCGTCGCCTCAAGGCCCACCACAAGACTACGAAGCCGATGTGCTACGCTGGTGACCAGTAGCACAGATGCCCTGCCGTCGCTCGGACGTCAATTTCCCGTGCATGTTTCGGCTTGGTGCGTGTTTCTTTTCTGCTCGATGGTCCAGGGTGCTCCTCGATGGTTCTCGCCGAGAAGAAAATGCACACGTCCGAGCGATGCCAAGATGAAAGAGTTGGTGGCCTCGACACGAGGCTTCCTTGATGCGAACTCTCTCCACGGGTGCTGCCATGCGCTGCTCGTGGCAGGGGGGCTGCCCCATGCGGCCAGAAACAGAGCCTGAGGCACGCTCAGCGATGGCCTCGACGATGTGGGAAGCGAGGGCAGGAGAACGAGGAAGATACGGCGGGGAACGTCGGCGTAGCGTGTCGCGGCGGCGGCCCTGGCGGCACGCTGTGCCCTGCAAGCTGACAGCATGTTGCTCCGCCTCGCGGGGCGAGAGGCCGGGCAGAGCTCGGAACGCTGACGCCCGGGAGATGGGAAGCGGCCAGCATGCCGCGCCGAAGCGCGGTGGGCCAGAACCGAGGGCGCGACACGCTGAGGGCGGATGTATGGAGAGAGCGAGAGAGCGAGGGCGGAGAGGGCAAAGAGAGAGCGAGAGAGAGCGAGAGAGAGAGCGAGGGCGGATGTATGGAGAGAGGGGGGAGGGCGCAAGCAAGAGACACGCGCCTGCTGACGCGGAGTGCTGAGCTGCCCGCCCCCCAGGAGAGGCGGCCGGCTCCATGGCCGAGGCAGGGGCGAGGCACGCCTTTTCGGGCCCCCCTCGGGCAGCGGTCCGGCGCGAGGCCCGCAAGGCGACAGCGGCGAGTGAAACGCAGGCTTTTGCCTCGGGAGCGCCGACGAGGGGGGCCGGCACGGCCGATGGTGAAGGGCCCCTGGGACACACAAAGAAATATACACAAATAGAAGGATTCCCCATATTCTCCCATATCTTCTGGGTTTTCGTCTCCCCCCCCCCCCACTTCCCACATTTTCCCACAACTATTTTCTCGGGAATCGACGATTCATTGTGTCTGTGTGTGTTTTTCCCCCTCCTGAGAATGGGAGGGTGGGCGCGCATCCTGACCCGAGACACGTGCGCGGACGCGGGGCGGGGGCCAGGGGCGGTGTCCGCAGAAGAGAAAAAATTGGAGCGAGGGGGCCGTGGAGGCCCCGGCCATGGCGTCCACGCGCCCTTTATAGAGGGCAGAACATCCACCCACATCATCATCATCATCATCATCATCATCATCATCATCATCATCATCATCATCATCATCATCATCATCATCATCATCATCATCATCATCATCAGCATCATCATCATCACCCCGACAAGCGAAGCCGCTTCGTAAGCGCACCCAGGGAAGGAATCGAACAGGGCAGGGCTGTTTAGTAAACGCCCAGGGCCCTTTAGTAAACGTCGATTGTCGGGTCCGCGTGGATTTTCCTCCCTTCATCCTAGCCCTCACCACTGACATCCGCCGGTGTGGTTTTTCCAACGCAGGGCCCCCGAAGCCTCGACCGCTTCCCCCTGGGGGTCGTTTCGCGTCCTGGCTTCAGTCTTGATGGCCCCAGGGCCTGGAAATGGCCCCCAAGAATCGAAATCGGGGGAAAGGCGCCGGGATGGAAAAAAACAGATCGCTGGAGGTCTGGGCTTCTGGGGCCTCTGGCGGCCGTTCGGGACGATCCAGGCACCCTTGGAACGCCCTCGACGAGGCGCAGCCGCTGAGCAGCATCCTGGGGTTGAAAAGGCTCCAGGAAGCGACGCAGAACGTCCGCAACCCTTCCGGGGACGGACGAAAACGTTAGCACAAGAACGCCAGGATGGAAACAAAAAAAGCCATGCCCGCGGAGGCCTGGGACGACCCCCCTCGTGGACGCCCCCAAATGGCCTGCCGTGAGCACCCCGGCGCCAGAAGGGCGGCCCGAGGGAGGGGGCGGTCGCGGCCGCGTCAGGCGGGTGCGAGCCTGCCGTGCTCTGGCTGGCGCAGCTGGGCTGGAGGCGGCAGGGTGGGTCTGAGCTGGATACCCAGATTTGGCGGCGCGCAGGGGGGGGCCCTCTCCTGCTCCTCCTCCTCCTACCCCTCCTCCTCCTCCCCCTCCTCCTCCTCCCCCTCCTCCTCCTCCTCCTCCTCCTCCTCCTCCTCCTCCGCCTCCTCCGCCTCCTCCTCGTCCTCCCCTCGTCCTCTCCTCCTCCTCCTCCTCCTCCTCCTCCTCCCCTCCTCCTCCGCCTCCTCCTCCTCCTCCTCCGCCTCCGCCTCCTCCGCCCTCCTCCTCCTCCTCCTCCTCCTCCTCCTCCTCCTCCTCCTCCTCCTCCTCCTCCTCCTCCTGGGGGAAGGCCTCTTAGAAGGAGACTGCTTCTTAGAAGGCACCGGCCCTACATGTCTGGACAGGGCACACGCCTGCCAAGGAGCAGGGGTGCTGCTCAGAGACCTTCCCCTTCCCCCTACCCCCCCTCTGCGCGTGGCCGACAGACCCCCTCGGGCAACGGACAAAATCACGACGGGAGGTGTTTCGCAATGTTCGGCCTCCAGGGGGCCCCTGCCGGGCCTCGGGACAGTCAGAAAAAACGACAAAAAAAGACTCGGGATGAGAAGCTGGTCCAAGGGAAGAGGTCCACACCTCTGGGGGGTCGACGCTGCGAAAAAATCACGACGTCGGGGGTCTGGGCGAGCCTGGACAGAGTCGGCCAAGAGGAGAGATGGGGCCACGCTTGCGAGCACGGCGCCCCGCGCAACCGTGCCGCGCCGGGGCTCCGTGCAGGCCCCGCTCTCCAGGGCGGTGCGGTGCATGGTTGTGGCCGGCCGTGGGGGGCCACAAGGCACGCTGCACCGTGCCAGTCCTGGCTCGAGAATGGACGGCCCCTCCTGACTACCTACCAGGCCACCCCAACCCAACCCGAAGACCCGAATTTGACCCGAGTTTCGGGTTGAGGGGGGGGGTACGGGTTCCATGTGTTTTTTCAACGTTCCCCGACCCCCCCCAACCAGAAATGGAGGGCAAATTGAAGCCTTCGGGTTGGGTTGGGGTGGTTTGGTGGGTGGCGACCTCCGGAGACGCTGACGCGGTGCGGTGCACGCATCTCGTCCGCGGAAGCTTCCGTGCCGCGCCTCGTGAGCGCTGGCCCTGCCGCATAAGAGCCCCCCCGGGTGCTTCCATGGCGGCGCCCTGCTCGACGCCAGCTCTGCCGCGCGGTGCTCGACGCTGTGACCGCTGCGGAGCCTGGGGCGTTGGCGCCGCCATGGAGAGCAGACCCGTATGGTTATGTCGGGCGTGTCCACCTACAGGGGGATTTTCGACGAAAAATAAAAAATACCCCAAAACTACTCCAAAAGGGTAATAATAATAATAACAATAATAATAATAATAATAATAATAATAATAATAATAATAATAATAATAATAATAATAATAATAATAATAATAATAATAATAATAATAATAAAACACACACACAAAAAAAAAACTCAATAAAAATAGTCCCCAGACTATCTTTGGACAATATTGTTGACTATTCTTGGGGTATGGTTTATGTTGTCGTCGAGAGTCCCCCTGTAGGGGGACAGGCACGACTGAAGGCAAGGCGGGTCGCACGTGGCGCGCCGCGGGCACCCCTGGCTCCACACCCTGGTTGAGTTCTTACCTCCCTCGTGCTTTCCTTCCCATCGATCTTCGGACTTCGGGCCCTGGCGGGCGCGCCTCCATGGGGCGACGTGCTCCGCGCACGTCCCCGCAACCGAAGGGGCCCTGGGGCACACCAACCAATGCACACACAAACGAAAGGCTTCCCCGCATGCTCCTATATCTTCTGGGTTTTCGTCGTCCCCCCACACTTCCCATATTTTCACAGTCAGTTTCGGGGGAATCGACGATTCATTGTGTCTGTGTGGTTTTCCCCCTCCTGAGCAACGTCGGTCACTGGACCCCTCCCGGGGTCGAATCGGACCAGTCTGTCGAGGCGCTACTGGCCGTGGCGACGGGGGCGGCCCAGCCTCGTTGCTCCCTGCCGGCCGGAGCCAGTGGACTTAGCACCGTGTGGCCGACCCCGCCCCCCCCCCCCCCCAGAACCCTTCGGGCAACGAAAAGATCACGACGGGAGGTTTATCGTGAAGTCGGGCATGTCCCCCATACGGGGGATTGTCGACGAAACATAAAAAAACACCCCGAAGACCCCCAAAAGGCGAAACATACTGAAAAAACAGCCCCCGACTTGCGTTTCTCGCTACTTTCGGCCTCTGGGGGCCCTCACCGGGCCTCGGGACCGTCAAAAAAAACGGCTCAGAACGAGCAGCCGGTCCCGGGGAATGGGTCCGGACCTCCGGGGGCCGCGTCACGAAACAATCGTGACGTCGGGGGTCTGGGGCGTCGGCGTGGCCTAGGCCCCCAGATGGGGGTGCCGGCTCCGTCCTTCGGGTTCCGAGGGCCATCCTCCAACCCCGCATCCTCCAACCCCCTCAACCCCCCAACCACCCCACCCACCCTTGAGCTCCCAATTCCACAATCCCCGAATCCCCCAACCGACCAACATTCCAAACCCCCCAACACTCCAACCTCCCAACCCCTCAATTCCCCAACCCCCCAACTCCCTAACTCCATAACCCGTCAACCCCCAAACCGCCACCCCGCAACTCCCTAACCCCCCAAGCTCCCCTCCCCCTCAACCTCCCAACCCCAAACCCCCAACCCTGAACCCCCAAACCTTTGAAGCCCACAAAGCCCCCAACCCACCAACTCCCTCAACCCACCAATCTTTGAACCCCCCTCCAAAATCCACACACACACAATCCTCCAATCCCCAACCCCTCGATTTCCCAACCCCCGAGCCACACAACCGCCCCAACCCTCCACCCTTGAACCCTTCAGCCGACCACACACCCACAAGCCCAAAACCTCCCAATCCCCCAACACCCCCAACTTCCGAACCCCCTTACTCCTCAACCCCCCCAAGCCCACAACTGCCCAAGCCCCCAACCCGCCAACCCACCAACCCCTCAACCGCCAAACCGCCGAGCCCTCCCGCGTTGGGGGAAGTCACCCTTCTTGAAGGGTTTCTGAGATCATGCGGTCGGGGGTGGGTGGGGAGGCTGAGGGGGTTCATACCCTGGAGGGGGTTCTAATGTCCCGGGGTTGGAGGGTTGGGAGGTTGCGAGGTTTCACCCCCCCTGAGAGGTTTCTGACGTCACAGGGCAGGGAGGTTGGGGGGCTGGAAAATTGGAGAGTTCCACCCCATGGAAAAGTTTCTGATGTCCCGGGGTTGGGGGGTTAGGGGCTTGGGGGCGCTCACCATGTTATAACGTTACGAGGTTGGGGGGTTGGGGAAATGCACCCGTCTGAAGAGGTTTCTGAGGTCACGGGGGTTAGTGGATTTGGGGGTTGGGGGGGTTCACACCCCGGAAGGGCTCGTGATGTCACAGGGCTTGGGGGGTCGGGGGGTTGAGGTTGGGGGGCGTCATCCCTCTTGAGGGGCTTGTGATGTCACAGGGTTGGGAGGATGGGGGGGGGCTTTACGCCCTGGAGGGACTTCTGATGTCCCAGTGTTGGGTGTTGGGGGGCTCGTGGGGGCTCGTAGGGGCTCACCGTCATAATGGGTGTCTGACGTCACGGGGTCGGGGGGTTTGGGGGGTTCACCCGTCTTGAGGGGTTTCTGAGATCATTGGGACTGGAGGGTTTGGGGATTGGAGGGTTTCACAGCCTGGAAGGGGCTTCTGATGTCCCGGGGTTGGTGGGTTGGGAGGTCGGGGGTTGGGGGGCGTCACCCCTCTCGAGGGGTTTCTGATGTCACAGAGTTGGCAGGGTGGCGGGTTGGAGGGTTTTCGGGGGCGGCAAAGAGGGGGGTGTCCAAGAAGGGGGGGGGCAAATCATGGCCGGCGGCATGTGCGCGGCCCAGCGGGGGGGCCAGGGACGTAATGAAATAAGAAGAGGCGCCATGAAATCTGGGGAAGTATCATGGTCCCCCGCCATGATATCCACCCCCCCTAGTCATCACCCCCCTCTTTGCCGCCCCCGAGGTTTCACGCCCTGGAGGGGTTTATGATGTCTTGGGGTTGGGGGGGTGATGTCACAGGGTTGGGGGGTTGGGGATTTCGGAGTCATGAGGGGTTTCTGATGTCACGGGGTTAAGGGGTTGGGTTGAGGGGGGTTGGGAGTTGTGGGAGTGGGAGTTGTGGGGTTGGGAGTCAGGGGGTTGGGAGGGTAGCGGGCTTGGCACTTGGTAGGGTGAAAGGTTGGAGGGATGGGGGGTTGGGGAGTTGTGGGGTTGGGCGTTGAGGGGTTCGGGGTGGGGGGGGTTAGATGATTAGGAGGTCGGGGGGTGATATCTAAGGGTTGGGGGTTGGGGGCCGTGGGAGGTTTCTGATGTCACAGGGTTTGGGAGTTGGAGGGTGGGGGGCTGGGGGGGTGGGAGGTTGGGGACTTGGAGGGTTGGAGGGTTGGGGGGTTGGAATGTGGTCGGTTGGGGAATTCGGGGTTTGTGGAGCTGGGGATTTCAAGGGTTGGAGGGTTGAGGGGGTTGGGGGGTTGGGGGCTTGTGAGGTCAGGGGGTTGGTGGTTGGGGGGTTGGGAGGGTGGGAGGTTGGGGGGTCGGAGGGTTGGGGGCTGGGGGGGGTGCGGGGGTGGGGGGTTGGGAGATTGGGGGTTTGGGGGGTTGGGGGGTTAGGGGGTTAGGGGGTTGAAAGGTTGGGGGGCTGGGGGGTTGGGGGGTGACTGGTTGTTGAGTTGGGAGGTTGAGGGGTGGGGGGTGGAGAGTTGCAGGGTTTCACCCCTTGAGGGGTTTCTGATGTCCCGAGGTTGGGGGGTGGGAGTTGCAGGGTTTCACCCCCGTTGAGGATTTCTGATGTCACAGGGTTGGGAGGTTGGCGGGTTGCAGGGTTCCACCCCTGGAGGGGGTTCTGATGTCACAAGGTTTGGGAGGTTGGAGGCTTTGGGGGTGTCACCCCCCGTGAGAGGTTTCTCAAATTACAGGGTTGGGGGGGTGGGAGCTTGGGGGGGTCCCCTTTTTAAGGGGTTTCTGATGTCATGGGATTGTAAGGTTAGGGAGTTTCACCCCTCTTGAGGGGTTTCTGAGGTCATGGGGTTGGGGGTAAGGGGGGCTCACACCCTGGAGAGGCTTCTGATGTCCTGGGGTTGGGGGGTTGGAGGGGTGGAGGCTTTCACCCCCTCTGAAAAGGTTTCTGGTGTCACAGGGTTGGGAGGTTGGGGGGTTGGGGTGTTCGGGGGGTTCACCCCCTGGAGGGGTTTCTGATGTCATTGGATTTGGAGGCTTGGGGGCTTGGGGAGCTTCATCCCCCTGAGAGGTTTCTGATCCTGCAGGGTTTTGGAAAAATGCTCCCAACCAACCACCTTCAGATGCGCAGGTATATCCCAAACTCGGGTGCTGAGATGGTGGGGGCCTGGATGGGGATAGGGACAGGGGATGGGAATAGGCGTCGGTTAAATTGTACTGAACCTCAGACCCCCAGCTGGCTCCACAATCTGGGCTGCTTCAGCGGCGTCGCGGCGGCAGAGTGCGGAATCTGGGCTACGGTAGACACGTCAAGCAAGAGACCGACCTGCCAGCAGGTGCTACCCGGAGATTCCTTCTGATCCCCCAATATGCGCCCACAGAAGCCTTGGGGCACCTCCAGAAGCTCATAGCTCGTCCTCAAACGCGCCCCTGCTGAAGCTCGATCTCTTGCGGAACGCACCTGCTCTAGCGCCAAGCAGCCGAGGCCAGTCGTCTACCGCGACACGTGGTCAGGGTTGGCGGGCCTGTCCTGGTGCTGCTGCACGAACGACGGGAAGGTCTTCTGGCGCAGCCGGTCCAGCTCCTTCCGCAGGATGTCGATCTCCTCGGTGTGCTTCTTCACCGCGGTCATGAGGCCTCGGCGGGTCCGAGCTGGATCGGATCGCGAAACCACATCGGGCCACAAGCGGATCCTATCGCCAGCGTGTCGTCACGAACCGACTCGAAGTCGGATCGCCGTGCCCGGCTCCGGCTGGCCCCAGCCGGCTCCGGTAAATCGGACCGACTCGAATCGGATCGGAATCGCAGCCCCAGCAGGCGAATCGAAGCGGATCGCCAGCGGCCCTGCCTTGGCGCCCCTTCACCTCCTTGAAGGCGCTGTGGGCCTGGCGGATTGAGCCCTCGTTCTCTTCGATGCGCCCGCCGCCGCCGACGATGCGCTTCTTGCCGCCCTCGGTGCCCGTTGCGCCGCCCGCGCCGCCGCCAGGCGGGGCCCTGAGGCGGCGGATGTGCTCGCGCTGGATGACGTTCTGCTGCAGCTCCCGGAGCTTCTTTTCGAGCATCGCGTTCTCCGCCTTCCTCAACTTGGTGGCCTGGGCGACCATGCCGTGCTGCTTCTTCAGAGTCGCCTCCTTGGTCTCGATGTTCGTCTTGAGGTGCTCGATCTTGCGCTCCAGCAGGTCCGCGTCGGCTTTGTTCTTGCCCTCCTCCCCGCCCTTCAGCAGAGACTGGAGCTCCTTGGTCACCCGCAGCATATGGACGTCCTTCGTACGCTCCTCCAGGTCCGTGGTCTGCATGGCCAGCATCTTGTGCTCCCACTGGATGAAGTTCAGCTTCTTCCTGAATTCCTTCGTGGTCTCGAGGATGCCCACCTTCTCCTGGCCCAGCTCCTGGATGCGCCTGTTCCTCGACTCCACCACCTCCTCCGCACAAAACACACGCAGCACAAGCACAAACCCTCGGACCTCCGAAGATCTATGCTCGTGCGCGCGTGTGCTTGCCCCTCCCCCGCTCCTGGTCGATGACGATGGCGTCCGAGTAGTCGGTGACCACGGCCGCCTGCGGCACCTCCACCTGGCCCTGCTTGAGCTTGAACAGCATCTCGATGTCGTAGAGCTCCTCTCGAGGGGGAAAGCGCGGCGAGAGCGGAGCGCGCCGCGGGGGGCGCCGGGGGCGCCGCCTGGCGGCTCCGGCGCAGAGCCGAGAAGAATCCGCGCGGGCTGCTCCACACGCGTTTGCTTAGAGGAGCTTCTTCCCCGAAGAGCGTTTCGCCAGGGAGGGTCCTCACAGAAGTATATATAAATACATATACATATATATATATATATATATATATATATATATATATGTATATTCATTCTATTTTCTATTGATGTATATATATATATATTGATTGAATGATATATCGATTTACCCCTCACTATATACATATATATGTATTAAGTTCTGTCTTTTATGAACATATGCAAAGAAAAAACAGAGGGCGGGACGTGGAACCCAGGACAGCCCCGCCCGAGACCGGCTGGCCTGGCAACCGCTCCGCCCGAGCTGCCCCACAGTAGATCCCTGAGCCGTGCTCTCGCCTCGATGCCGGCTACGTTTTCAAGTCGGGCATGTCCCCCTACAGGTGGATCTCGGACGAAAAATTCAGAAAATACCCCAACAACATGCCCCAAACATATGCAGAAATGGTCCAGCAATCATCACAAACACCCCAAACATACCCCGAAGATACTCAAAAATGGTCCCCAACACTCGTCCCCAGACTATTTTTGTTGACTATCTTTGGAAGGATTCCCCCTGGTAGAGGGACAGGCCCGACTTGAGACTACGTGTAATGGTCTGGACGGTCACGGTCCTTTGGTGAAGATTTGCGAAAGTGCACGTGGCCGTGCTCCCCCCCCTATCCCCGCCATGGCCGACCTCCTATTCCTCGACCCGCCTCTCCACCCCTGCCGCTGCTTCGGGGTGCTTTCCTGGGGCAGGCTGTGCTACTGCGAAGTTTTCCCTTGGAGGCGGCCCGGGGGGCCAGGACTCGCCAGGGCCCCCAAAGGATCCACCGGTCGCGAGGATCGGTCCCCGGACCCCTCCCGAGGTCCATTCTTGTGCACTGCTTCCATCCGGATCCGCTTTTCACAGCCCAGGGACCCGAAAGCGGCACCCTGGCACTGGTACTGGTACGTCAAACACCGCGCGGTGCGTGAACGAAGCTAGGCGCAAGCCAGGAAGACAGCGTCCGAATCTATAGAATATTGCGTACACTGTGCTCGAAATTGTGTTGAGAATGCCTCGCCGCGCGCCGAGCTGCTATCGTGCTGAGCTGAAAGCGGCACCCCCAGGCCGAAAAGGGCGACAACGAAGCCTTCCCGAGCCCAGGGCCTGGAGCCTGCACGCCCTCCCTGCTGGCCGAGGCCAGGTGCTGGGCCACCACAGGCCCTCAGAGGGCTGCAAGCTGTGCTTGTGCAGTTCTTTGGGGAGGAGGAGGAGGAGGAGGAGGAGGAGGAGGAGGAGGAGGAGGAGGAGGAGGAGGAGGAGGAGGAGGAGGAGGAGGGAGGAGGAGGAGAGGGAGGAGTAGGGAGGAGAAGGAGGGGGAGGAGGAGGAGGAGGAGGAGGAGGAGGAGGAGGAGGAGGAGGAGGGAAAGGAGGAGGAAGGGGAGGAGGAGGAGAAGGAGGAGGAGGAGGAGGCGGAGGCGGATCCTTGTCCATCAGTTGCAGCTGCTCGTCCAGCTCTTCCTGCAGCACGTTGTGGGCGACCTGGGCGTCGCCGCGCTCCTTCTCGAGGTGCGCCAGCAGGCCCTGCATGTCCTGCAGCACCAGGCTGTTTTTCGCCACCTTTCGAGGGGCCCAGGGAGGCACAAACAAATACACACCTATCCAAAAATTCCCGATTTGTTTGTGAATTTTTGCTGGACTTCTCCATACCGCATCGACTTCCAGTTGTCACGTGCCTTGATGGACATCGCCGCTTACTTGTGTCTGTGCTTGTTTGTTATCTCCTGAACCTCGCGCTCCAGGGCCTCCCGCCGCTGCCGCATCTCGAGCATCCGCTTGTAGTTGGCCTCGTCGATGCCCTCCGGGCAGGCGTCGACGGGCTCGTCGTCCTTGGGCACTGCCCGCTCGAGCGCCGACTCGGCGGCAACGGTGCCGAGGTCATCGTACGCGTCCATGACGACCTCCGGGTCGAACGGCTCCGGCGCCAGCGGCCCGGTCTTCGTGGCGGCCGTGTCTGACCCGTGGAACGACATGCCGCGGAACTTCCTCGTCTGCGGCGAGGCGGAGCCCGAGAGGGTGGCGTCGGGGGAGAGCATCTGCGTGCTCATCCTCCGCTTCTTCCTAGCCGGCTCCGGCAACACACCCAGAGATCCGACGTCGTGATTTTTTCAATGCGCGGTCCCCGGAAGCCTCGATCCATTCCCCAGGACCGGTTTTTCATCCTGAGTCGTTTTTTGACGGTCCCGGGGCCCGGCGACGGCCCTTAGAGGTCGAAAATTACGAAAAACCTGCGTCTTGATTTTTTCAATACGTTGGATCTCTGGGCACCCTGGAGCTGGCCCCTTCTCGCTCAGTGGAGGGCCATCGTCTGCTTCCGCAGAGCTTCCGCCCCGCTCCCGCCCGCCTCCGCCGCGCCGAGCGAGAGGTCGAGCGCTCCACTCGTCAGAGGCGGTTGCCCTGCTGCGGACGCCGTCTCGGGGCGGGGAGGTCTCTCCAGGGGCCTCCTCCTCCTCCTCCTCCTCCTCCTCCTCCTCCTCCTCCTCCTCCTCCTCCTCCTCCTCCTCCTCCTCCTCCTCCTCCTCCTCCTCCCGAGGCCTCCAGGGGAGCCCGGAGGTGACAGGAAGGTAGCCAGGGCGCCCACAGGGTCAACGGTGAGGCTCTTCTTGGAGCGCCCCTCCTGAAGATCTGCAGCAGGGCCCCGATCTGCTCGGGCTCCAGGCCCGACTGCGCGAACTGCTGCTTGAAGTTCTGGGCGGACGCCGCCTCCTTCTCGTTCCGGATGCACTCGTCCTCGAGCATCGTGGAACCGATCCCCATCCCCACCGGCGTGGCCGTGGCCCCACTGGCCGACGGACCCACCTGGGTGGGTACCCATGCCTGCTCCTCCGTGTTTCGTGGCGCCTATGCGCACCTAGGATTATGTCGGGCGTGTCCCCCTACAGGGGGATTTTCGACGAAAAACAAAAAATACCCCCAAAATACCCCAAAAGGGCAAACAAATATTTTCAAAAATTAGTCCCCTGACTATTTCTGGACTATTTTTGCGTATGTCTTAGCTTTCGTCGAAAATCCCCCTGTAGGGGGACAGGCCCGACCTAAACCTAGGAGGGTGGGCTGGTGGGGCCGAGATGCGACGGCCCAGTGGGGACCGGGACAGGCTAGCCGATGCGGAGTCCTGTCGCTCCCTGGCCCTGCCGATGAACTCCTGGAAGGTCTCGAGCTCGCCGCTCGCCTGTCTGGGGCGAGGCCGACCGGCACCGCAAGGCAGGAAGAGTCGTGTGAGGGGGCCCAGGGACACACAGAAAGAGAGACACACGCAGAGTCCCAGGATTCCCCACATGTCTCGCCATACCTTTTGGGGATCTTCGTCTTCCCCCCCACTTCCCACAGTTTCGCATACGTTCGGGGGAGTCGACGATGCACTGTGCCTGTGTGGAGGAGGAGGAGGAGGAGGAGGAGGAGGAGGAGGAGGAGGAGGAGGAGGAGGAGGAGGAGGAGGAG